CGCAGGACGGCCGCTTGCCCACAAGCCCCTTCACTGGGTTTCCTGCGCCCACTGCTGCCCACGATGCTGACTTACACGGCTGCAAAGAGAACACCAGTAACACAGCGGCCCTAACCTGCACGGGCCACGTCCTCTCAGTGCAAGTCAACAAAACTAGAAGTAACTAATGAGAGTTTTAAAAGCAATTCTAAAATGTGTTTCTTATTTTTTATATTTCTTGTTATAATTATATTAATGAAATTCTGTGCCTCCTTTGTAAAATATTAGGACACATACATTTTCAAATAAGAATGCAAATATACTAGTTGGACAAAAATGAAATGAAGGTATTCAATTAAGTGTTGCGATATAATAATTAAATTTTATCTCAAGATAAAAAATTGTCTGGATCACAGTACACATTCAATAAAAGTGCTGAATAAATTAATAATTCCACTGAAGGCAAATGCATAAGCTTAATTTTTGTTATTAAAATTTTAAATGAAAGTAAACTATACAACTCCAGCTGAAAGAGATAAACAGCAATTATCTAATAAATAAAATCCCTACGTAAAGCAGGGAGAAAAATAAAGATAAGCAGAAATTAATCAATTTTGAAAATTAAATGATGTTCTTGACAAAAAAATGTAATAGATAAACTTCTGATAAATCTAATCTAGAAAAGTAGAAAATCACAAAAAAACAAAAATAGAGGCAAAAAAAACACTCATAATAGCTACACAGGAGAGTAATGATAGCAGAGGACTATTTATAATTCCCTGCCTATAAAATTCAGTCTTATAATGGACAATTTTCTGTGAATATATAAGTTTAATAAAATTGACTTAAGGTCAACAAAAATCTGAGTAGATTAATAATCATCAGTAACCAAGAAATGAGAAGTCATCAAATCATTATTTTAAAAAATGAAAGGCTTTCAGTCAGTTCTGTCAAACTTTCAAGAAAATATGACCCTCTGTGCTCTAAAAAATTATTGAAGAACAAAGCAAAACATGAAATTGGTGTTGAACTTTATCAAGCACCTTTTCCACTATCCGTCAATGTTATTTTGTGCCTGATTCTATTGATTCAGTTTATAGTGCAATAAAAATTTAATAAGACATCACTGTTGCAGTGTCATGATAGAGAAATCTTTTCTATACTGTTGAATGCAGTTTGCTGGCCCCACAGAACAGAAGAGTAACGAGTCCACTCCGGAAGGTTCTGAGGACATTTGTATGACATGTGAAAATGCTTCTGAAATCATGCTGTTTTCTTTATTTCCTCTAATAGGTTGAAAATGATACATCTTTACTCTTCTAGGATAGCATTTCCCCACCTCACGTTCCACCCTGTCTGGAATCCTGCTGCCACCCTGACTTCTGAGGTTTTCCCCAAGATGGTCTGTTGGTGGCCAGCCATCTGCGAGATGGTCTGTTGGTGGCCAGCCATCTGCGAGATGGTCTGTTGGTGGCCGGCCATCTCCGGGCGTCTCTTAGCTGCTCTGCCACTAGTTTGAAGACATTAAAGGAGAAAGTGATGAAGCCATTTTGGTCACATACATTTCACCAGTTTGAAATGTTGGATTAATAATGATTTTCACAGAAATCCCATCACAGTCTAATAACCATTGTGTTCCTAACAGTTGTGCAAGTATTGGGAGGACATCTTGGCTAATATTAATAGCATGAAGCTTTTATCAGTGAACTTGTTTTCTTATTATTTGCATATTTTCCCATTCCATCAATTAAAAGACTGCATGCAAAGGAGTGGACACGTTAGACTTCTTTTCTCTCCAACACACTGAGCAGCTGGCCGCAAGCCCTTCTGTCTCCAGATTAAAGTTATGACAACTTCTACGTGTGTTCTACTCAAGGAAATAAGCAGTTTCCATGTTATTTTCCTATTTGCATGTTGTTTACAGCTGGTATAGCTGTGTTTTGCTTTTCTGTCACAACTTAAGTTCAGCAAAATGGATCAGTGGGTCAGGAGTGTTACATTAAAGAGTAAGAGCAGTAACTGGCAAGCCGATTCAAAGATGTGTATGGAAATAGAGAATCTGGAAGAGTTAAAATTGTCTTAATAAAGGGTAGAATTTATTTTGTGAATTTTAAAAACTATGTTTTATGATTTTTGAATGGTTTGTGTGGTACATATAGTATCTTAAATACCCTGACCCTGTCCCTTTTAGGATTGAAATGTAGAGAAAATAAGATACCGGATTTTTAATAAGACAGCAAATAGCACAATGATAGAGCATTTGACCCTTTACCACTACTTGATCATTTTCTTCACTTGTCCAAAAAGAGATGGGTCTGGTTAAAAAATCACATCCAAATGTTGCAACTGTCTCCTCTGATTGAAAGAGGGGCCCAGCTTCCAGCACGGCAGAGAACACTGCTGGCCGGCCTGGGAGTTCCTGGTGCGTCTGGGGTCCTAGCCCTGGGCCGCGTCCCCCACGCCCTGTCAGAGCACTGCAGGAGAAAAGCAGAAATCTCTATTTCCTTCCTCTCTTGTCCCCCTAATTGTTGCTCCAGATGATTCCAATTCCCTCTCCAGACCCCACAGCTCATCGCCAGGAATTTCACTCACTTTGGGAAAAAGTTGTCACAACTTTAATCTGGAGGCAACCAGCTTGCTTATTACCAGCTGCTTGGAGAGAAAAAGGGCCAGGTTAATCAGATACAATTAATTATCCTGATCTTTGGCCCAAACACCCTCCTTTGCTCTTTGCACTGGTTGGTCCTGAGCAGGAGTACGTCTGAGCTTCAAGGAAGGAGGCTGACTTGTGCGAGGCCGCCCCGCGGGGAGGCAGAGGGGCCTGCAGAAAGGAGGACATCGACAATAAGCAAGGGAAGAGAGAAATGACTGGCAAAGCAAGTTTCCTGGGAAGGGAAGGCTTGAGAACACCCGTAGAACAGGAATAGCGGCACTTTTTCTTCTGTTAAATGGAGAGAAGATGGGAAAGCAGAGAGCAAGGACAGCCTTAGATGAATTATCACAGTGCCTGTGGGTGGCAGCGACTCAAATACCCATCGGATTCAAGAGATGTTGACCAGTGACGCTAACTGCCTGGCCCTGGTGAACAAGAAAAGGTGTCACTGAAACATTGTATGTAGCCATCAGCCGCACGGAAATTAAGGTAGCTGTTTAGGGCTGAACACCAGACTGGGTAGGCCACGCCCTGCACCTAATGGAGAACGGCATGCCCAGCACCTATTCTTTCCATCACGATGGTCACCAAATGCACCTTGTTAATCAGCGTACGAGCACCAGCCTGCGCCCCCAGCGTGAATCTTTGCCCACCTTCCAACATTTCTAACAGACTGAAGAAGGAAGGTAACAGGATTGAGCTCTGAAGTGGCGGGCTCGGGGCCAAACACCCTGATACGTTGTCGTTCCACTTACTTCCTCACAACAGCACTTCTGAAAAAGGGACTCAGAGAAATTAAGTACTTTAACAAGGTCGTGGGGCTAGAAAATAGAGCTGGGCTTCAAATTCGGATTTTCCTCACTTAAAAGCCCACTTCATGTGCCACAATGCAAAAAACAAAAAAGCCAAACAAAAAAAACCAAATTAATCTCCAGCAAACTAATTTCATACTAGACAGATGCCACCGAGGTACCTAAGAGACAGTGTCCAGCAGAAAAACAACCCCGTGTGATCTCTTTTCTGTGGCTCTGTGACGTGGTGAGACCTGTGGCACTGCCAGAAACCTGACAGCCTGTGGCTGGGGCAGGACTTCTTCCTCTCTAGACTTCCTCTCTTTTGGTGAGAAAACCATTTTAAAATGCCTCCTGTTTCTCTCCCTCTGAATTTGAGGTCCTCTACTTTTTTCTGTTGTCAAAACTCCCCCAAACCTATTATTTTATTAGGTCATTGGGTACGATTCATGTGCCTCCTGGGAAGAGCGGCTGTAGGACGGGAGCGGCAGGACTCCGAGCCAGGGGCGGGCTGAGCTTGCCCTCGAGGTCCACCTGCTGCCCCCCTATTGCCTGTTATGCTCCCGCCCCGCCGCTCCCCATGCTGTTCCCCAGGGTTCCGGGCCCAGGTTTACATTACACGGTGAGCACTCAGCCCAGACATGCCATGCTTTCCGCAGCATGGGCATAGCCTGCTGTGTCAGCTCCTGGGATGCCCCCTTCCAGTGCACCCCCTAGGAAGCCCGAATGACCCGTGTGGGTCAGTCACAGCCTCGGAAACAAGGGTATCCTTGCTCGGGTCACTTCCAAGTTCAGGTTGTTCGCAGGGCAAAGCAGTGTGTGTTCTAAGTCCCAGTAGCCTGGCAGTAAGCTCGCATTTCCCTTCACTTAGCCTTCACTGTGTTCTAACTTTCCGTGGCTGGTAAGCCTACCAGCCTATGATCTGCCCAGTGTAACAGGGGCTTCCTCCCACGGGACGGGCAAACAGGTACAGGCAGAGATGCGATCTCCCTGTATCAGTCGGACACGCTGGGCGACACTGTGGTAACAAGTGAGCCCAAGTCTCAGTAGCTCACAGTGAAGGTCTAGGTCTCACGTTGCATGTCCGTTCCGGTCCAGCCTCAGCTCTGCCCCATGTCACTGTGGGGGCCCCGGACAGGCCCCTCAGCTGCCTCTTTGGCCTGTTGATCCCTCGATCACTTTGAGTGGAAATGACTGGAGAAACAGCCTTGTCAGGAGGAGGACACTGACCCTCGTCCGTCCCGCTGAAGCCAGGAACCAAATGCCCCAGTGAAAGGTGCTGTCCGCCCCCGGAGGCTGGAAGGCATCCCACCCCCAGAGATGCGGCATCATCACCGATTCACTGCCCAGCGCTGTTTAGAATTCCTTACTAAGTGAGGCTTTCAAATGTAAATTTCCTTTGTCCTGTCAATTCCTCACAGATTATTTCTTCTTCTAAAATGCATAAAAACTTTCCTGCAGAAAGGCCTTGGCCATTTCTGCGGCCTTGATTTCACTATTGGGCCTTTATGTGTAATTAAACTTTGTGTTTTTTTTTTTTCTCCTGTTAATCTGTCTCATGTCAATTTGCTTCTTAGACGTGCTGGAAGAACCTTAAGGGCAGAGGAAAATTTTTCGTCGCGGTCACTCCAGGACCCCGGCTCACGGAGCGGCCTCCCCGGGGAGCAGCGGGTCTGGGCGGAGAGAACTACAAGCACGACGGGGCGCGGCCCGTTCGTAGGTTTCTGTTCCCACGTCATCCGCAAAGCGGTGACCGTCCGGCCGCCCCCGACGACAGCGAGCGAATGGGAATCCTCCTTCGGGAGGCAGCGGCCGTGGAGGCGGGCGGACACTGAACCTGACGGAGGCCTGCACGCCGACGCCACGTTGGAGGGAGGGAGCCCCCCGCGGAGCCCAGGTCCCAGGCGGCCGGAGATGCGGCTCATTCTCCCGCTGCGGCGCCGCGGTGAGTGCAGCTGCTCCACACAACACAGGTGGCACTGGGGTCCCAGCGGCTGCCCGGGGAGTCAGCACTGCTCCTGGACTCTAATTCCTGGGTGTGTGACCCCAGCCCCCAAGGGGGCCGACCTCCACCCCTGCCCAGCCCTGGGGCAGCCAGCTAGAGAAGCTCCTCCACCAGGGGCCAGACTTGGGTCAGGGAAGGTCACTCTCCGGAGTCACTTCTTTTTACAGCCTGTCAGAGACCAAATTAGATCACCTGGAAGGAACACATGATGGCCCATCTGTCCGCTCAGATAAATCACTGACCTTCTTTTTTTTTTTTTTTTTTTTTCCCTCCACAGAAGGGTGTTCAAAACAGTTGTCTCTGTGATGAATGGTTATCTCCGTACTGAAGTGCATGGGCCTTAAGAAGGTGATGCCGGCCTCAGCAACATGAGTCCCCTAGAAATGAAGATGATTGAATGGTTTGAAGTATGCTAATATACAGAAAATGCTGGTGCAGGCAGTTCTTCTGAATACAGTTATTCAGAATCCAGGTGAAAATCATTTCACAAGTGTTAATAATGTAATAATTCTCTATACACCATGCTGGGGATACATACAAATGCACCTGTGTGCATGCACGCACACACAAATTATAAATATGTGATATTGTGATTATTATAAGAAATACATATTTAGTCTTTGTCCCAGTTTCTGGCTCACAGCTGCCAAAACCCTTGGAATTTCCTAAGCGTTGAGAGTGTTAAAAGGTGTCTTCTGTTACGTTAATGAGGGGAATTTGGAAAGCACCTCAGGATAGGGCCTGGCTGCCAGTGGAGCCAGATTTGTGATTAGAGGCTTAGAACTTTCAGACCCACTGGTGACTTCTAGGGAGGCGAGAGGGGCTGGAGTTCGAGCCAATTGCCAGTGGCCCATGATTTAATCAATCGTGCCGGTGTAGTGAAGCCTCCCTACAAACCCCAAAGGACTGAGATCGGGGAGCTTCCAGATCGGTGAATCCGTGGAGACTTGGGGAGAATGCTGTGCTCCGAGAGAGAGCAGGGAAGCTCCATGCCCTTCCCACACACCCTGCCCTACGCATCTCTTCCGTCCAGCTGTTCCTGGGTGATATACTTCATGATACACTGGGAATCTAGTAAGTAACTAGACTTCTGTGAGTCTGACTTTCTTCCTCCTCTGACTTCTGTGAACTGCGGTAGCTAATTAATTGAACCTGAGGAGGGGGCCGTGGGCGCCTCCCGTCTGTAGCCAATGGGTCAGGAGCACAGTTAGCGTTGTGACCAGCAGCTGGAGGTGGGGCGGTCGCGGAGAACCCGGCCCCTGTGGGTTCCTCCAAGTAGTTAGCATCAGAATGTAGTTGAATTGTAAGACAGCCCGCTGGTGTCCAAGAATTGCTTGGTGTTGTGTGGGAAACCACATGCGCGTGCACACACACACACACATACACACACACACACACAGTGTATTGAGAATGAAGCATTTATTACTCATAAATCAGGGAGAGGGAGAACCGACATATTATAAATAGCCTACCATTATAGCTGAATTTTTTTAATTGACTTATAGTTAATGTACAGTATCATATTATTTTTAAGTATACAACACAGTAATTTGACAATTATATAAATTACTAAGTGCTCACCATAATAAGCATAGTTACTATCTGCCATCATATAAAGAAATTAGAATATTATTGACTGTGTTCCCTATGCTGTACTTTCATCCTTGTGACTTACTTATTTTATAATTGCAAGTTTGTGCCTCTCCATTCCCTTGACGTATTTTGCCAGTTCCCCTGCCGCGTCCCCTATGGTGACCACCAGTGTGTGATCTGTGTTTACAAGTCTATTTCTGCTTTGTTTATTTGTTTTATTAGATTCTACATATAAGTGAAATAATACGGTATTTGTCATTCTCTGGCTTATTTTACTTGGCATAACACCCTCTAAGTCCACCCATGTTGTTGCAAATGGCAATATTTCATTCTGTTTTATGGCTGACTAATATTCTACTGTATGTATGTACCACATCTTATTTATCCATTCATTTATTGATGGACACTTTAGTTGCTTCTGGTCTTGGCTATTGTAAATAATGCTGCAGAAAACATAAGGGCGCACATACCTTTTCAAATTAGTGACTTTGTTTTCTCCAGGTAAATACCCAGAAGTGGAATTACTGGACCGTATGGTATTTCTATTTTGGTGGGGGAAGGGGAACCTCCATACTGTTTTCCATAGTGGCTGTACCAATTTACATTCCTATCAACAGTGCATGAAGGTACCCTTTTCTTTACATCTACCAATGCTTGCTATTTCCTATCTTTTTTATAATAATCATTCTGACTGGTGTAAGGTGATATCTCATTGTGGTTTTGATTAGTATTTCCCTGATGATTAGAAATATAGAGCATCTTTTCATGTGCCTATTGGCCATCTGTGTGTCTTTTTTAGAAAAATATCTGTTCAGGACTTCTGCTCATTTTAATTGATTGTATTTTGGTGTTCAGTTGTATAAGCACTTTATTTTGGATATGAACCATTTACGAGATACATCATTCGCAAATATATTCTCCCACACATAGTAGGTTGCCTATTCATTTTGCTTATGGTCTCCTTTTACTGTGCAGAAGCTTTTTAGTTTGATGAAGTCCCACTTTTTTATTTTTGCTTTGTTTCCCTTACCTAAGGAAACACATCTGGAACAAAATTTCTAAGGCTGATGTTCAAGAGTGTATTTCCTGTTTTCTTCTAGGAGTTTTATGGTTTCAGATCTTATATTTAGATCTTTTATCCACTTTGAGTTTATTTTTTTATATGGTGTTAAGACAGGTAGCTGTCCAGTTTTCCTATCACCGTTTATTAAAGAGATTGTCTTGTCTCTTTTGCCATATATTAATTAACCATATAATAGTGGATTTATTTCTGGGCTCTCTATTCTCTTCCATTTATCTATGTGCCTGTCTTTCTGCCAGTATCATAGTGTTTTAACACTGTAGCTTTGTAGTGTAGCTTGAAATCAGGGGGCATGATACCCTGAGCTTTGTTCTTCTTTCTCAAGATTGCTTTGGGCATTCAGTTTCTTTTGTGCTTCCATACAAGTTTTAGGATTATTTGCTTTAGTTCTGCGAAAAATGCCATTGGTATTTTGATAAGGATTGCTTTGAATCTGTAGATTTCTTTAGGTAGTATGGCTTTTTCGCACTATTAATTTTTCCTATCCATTAGCATGGAATATATTTCCATTTATTTGTGTATTTTTCAATTTCTTCAGTGTCTTTTAGTTTTCAATGTATAGGTCTTTCACCTGCTTAGTCAGATTTATTCCTAGACATTTTATTCTTTATGATCTAATTATAAATGGAATTGCTTTCTTAATTTCTCTTTCTTCTAGTTCATTATTTCCTTATTAGAAACACAACAGATTTCTGGGTATTGACTTTGTATCCTATGATTTTACTGATTCATTTATTTTAATAGCTGTTTGATGGAGTCTTTAGGGTCTTTTATATACAGTATCATGTCATCTTTAAGAACATGTAATCTGTGACAGTTTTATTTCTTCCTTACCATTTGGGTACATTTTATTTCTTTTTCCTGTCTGATTGCTATGGCTAGGACTTCCAGTAATTCATTGACTAAAAGTGGTGAGTGAGTATCCTTGTTCCTGATCTTAGAGTAAAAGACTTCAGCTTTTTGCCATTGATTATGATGTTAGTTGTGGGTTTGTCCTATTTGGCATTATGTTCTCTCTATACCTAACTTTTTGAGGTTTTATCTTGAATGGATGTTGAATTTTGTCAAATATTTTTCCAATATCTACTGAGATGATCATACGGTTTTTATCCTTCCTTTTGTTAATGTGGTGTATCACACTGATTGATTTGAGAATACTGAACCATCCTTACACCCCTGGAATAAATCTCACTTGGCCATAGTGAATGATCCTTTTAATGTATTTTTGGATTCATTTGCTCATATTTAATTTTGTTAAGGATTTTTGCATCTGTGCTTATCAGGGAAACTGTCTATAGTTTCCTTTCTTTGTAGTGCCCTTATCTGGTTTTGGTATCAGGGTAATGCTGGCCTTGTAGAATGAAACTAGAAGTTTTCCTTCCTCTTCAATTTTTTGAAATGCCTTGAAGAGGATAGGTGTTAACTCTTCTTTAAATGTGCGGTAAAATTCTTCTATACTGCTGTCTGGTCCTGGACTTTTGTTTGTTGGGAGTTTTATGATTACCAATTCAATTTCATTACTGGTCAATTGGTCTGTTCAGATTTTCTGTTTCTTCTGGTGCAGTCTTAGAAGATTGCATATTTCTAGGTATTTATCCATTTATTCTAGGTAATCAAATTTGTTGGCATATGAATTTTTCATAGTAATCTCTTATGCTCATTTGTATTTCTGTGGTATCAGTTGTAATTAATCTTTCATTTCTGATTTTACTTATTTGAGTCCTCTTTTTTGCTTGATGAGTCTGGCTAAAGGTCTAACAATTTTGTTTATCTCTTTGAAAAACCAGCTCTTAGTTTCATTGATATTTGTATTTTTTAAATCTCTATTTCATTTTTTTCCCCTCTGATCTTTATTATTTTATTGCTTCTACTAACTTTGGGCTTTGTTTGTTCCTCCTTTTCTAGATCCTTTTGGTGTATGGTTAGATTGTTAATTTCAGATTTTTCTTGTCTCTTGAGGCCTGTACAGCTATGAACTACCCTCTTAGAACTGCTTTTGCTGCATCCCAAAGATTGTGGACCATTGTTCATATTTTCATTATTCTCCAAGTATTTTTTTATTTCCTCTTTTATTTCTTCATTGACCCACTGGTTGTTTAGTAGCATGTTGCTTATATAGCTTAGCTTTTTTAACTTACATTAAAACAACTGTTATTTCTTCATTCAAGAAATTTATTGAACACCAATTCCAGGCACAGGGGATATAGTAGAGAATAAAGCGGATAAAAATCTCAGCATTCATGAAACTTCTTGTTGGAAGAGAAAGCCAGGAATTGAAATTTAATGACAATCTTATATGCGCCTCCCGATCTGCTGTCCAGCCCTCCCCACGCTGATCTGCGCATCTCTACAGACCACAGCCACAGGCTCTCTTGCCCTCCCATCTCTGGTTGGATTTGGCCAACGGTAGGCATTTGCAGCACAAGAGAAAAGTGGTGGAGTTTACTCATCGTGGGATGGCCGCATGCTTCTCTCAAAGGCAGCCCTCTCTAGGTTCTCTAGATGCCTTGCCCTCTAAACTCCTCCCTTGACTCCAGTAACTGCTCTTTCCCTTTTCTTTATAGGCCTGGTGGTGGCAACAGGTCCCCACCACCACCACCACTGCTGTTGGCCCCGAGGCACTATGTCAGCCCTTGTTGGATTCCTAAACCTTGCCCACACCTTTGTAAATCATTCTTTTATTACATTGTCCTCAGACCACCCAGTTTGAGGATGCTGTTTCCTATTTAACTTGACCAATACACAAAATGAAGAAATCCACTTTATAGTAACTTAGATATTGGTAAGTTACTGTTGAGAAAATAAAGCAAGGAAAGGGGGTGAAGAGTGGTGGGTCAGAGAAGGTGGGTGCTTTTTAAATAGTGTGTTTCTTCAGTAACAGTATGTTCTAGGGCACATTTCCCTATCTCTCAGCAGAACTTTCTTTTCAGAGGTAAGGAAAAATAAGGCAGGAACCCCAAAATGTAAAACCTAGACTTGAGGAACATCGCTGGTTGAAGCAGAGGTAGGAGTGCCGATGAAAGATCAGGGCTCCCACATGGCCTCCCCCTCCCTGCCCTCAAGGCCGCACAGTCTTCCACCACCCCTCCCTGGGCTTCCGACACCCATCTGTTGCTCCTAGGTCTCAGAGATACACAGGACAAAGGATGATACAGCATATTCATTTCTTAATCCTCTCCAAATTTATGCCACATCATTCCAGAGAAACATAAAACTACTCATCATACCCTCAGGAACAGCTTTTATTAGAACCCTGATTTAATACGTCCTCATCTCTCACCCACTGCTGAGAAAAGAGGTGACTTCCCTGTATTCATCTTTTCATCTTTATTTGTAAAATTGACATTATCGATCTTTTCCCTGTTTCTCTCAATGTCGTCTTTACAAAGACCCGTCTGAT